GTCTCTCGACTTGTAAAAGCAGTAAAATAAATTTTTTTTTTTTTTTTTTGGGGTATAGGGTTTAAAAAACATTGTTGACTCGTGTTTATCTTACTTGAAGTTTGGGTCATTAAAAAAAAAAAAGAAAACAAATCATTGTAAAAATAATTCAGGTACCTGAAAGCGCGACAAAAAAAATTTAAAATTCAGAGGGGAGGCAGGCTAAAATGACAAAAGAATTGATTCGCTTTTGGTTTCTTTTTCTTTTCTTTTTTTTTTTTTTTGCCCTTTTCTTTGTTTTTTTACTGTTGAAAAATGTTGTAAAATCAGTGACGAATCTAAATTTCCCTCGAAATGGGAAAATTCCCATTGGCGTTATTATTAATAATAATAGTAATCAAATTATCACAAAAAAAAAATTTTATAATTTCATACGAGGTCTTCCTTCCTTCCTTCCTTTCTTTTTTTTTTTTATGTTTTATGTTTTATCACGTATTGTTATGTTTGCCATAAAAAATTGAGGATGAAGGAAACTTGGGAGGAGGAGGGGGGAAGGAGAAACATAGCACCCTTCTCACCCGTGATGACGTCTTCAATTGCTGTTGTTGTTGTAAACAATTTTAGCCTATTTGTGAGAGGCTTTAAAGTGGACATAATAAGATCATCAGATTTGCAAATATCTTGGCTGAAAAGTAAACGAATTCATTTCAATCATTTTTAATTTTAAAATTGTGATAAAATTCATTTTCTTATCTATCCTCATTTTTAAATTGATTAAAAATAATTCGCAGAAAATTAAAGTTTGTAAAATACTCAAAATTGATAATTCTTTTTTTAAACAATTACCTCAAAGTGTTGTAATTTAGAGTGATCCACCCGTAAAAAAAAAAACAAATAAGTCCAACAATACTGGCAGGTATTAGCATGTGAGTATAAAATCCTAACCAAGCAAAATAAAGAGCATATTTAACACCAAAATAATCTTTGATATATACACTTATTTTTTTAAACATTCCGATTGTCTCGATCGATCTATCGTTCGTTTGTTTAAGGTACGATTTGGAAATAACGGTCAAAATAAATTCGGACACGTGGAACAGCATGGAATCGAAAATAAAATTAATCGTCGACGACAGCATGAAAAATTACACGTTGAAACTCGATGGAAACGATCAAATATGGTTCAGAGGGATTTTAAATATCCTGAAAAGATTGGAACGGAAAATTTGTCCATCGTCGTTGACGAAATCGGTTGCATAAATTGCTCTATAAAATATAAAACGATAAAAA